CCCAGCAAATGGATGCTGGATCACAGAAAGCAACTCCACTGACATGCAGCAGTACTCCTCTAGTCCTTCAGTGGGCAGCTCAACACAACTTGGTTTTTACTGTAGGCTCCAAGGCAGATAAAACATTAACAACCCCCTGCCCCTTCTCAGATCTGCAACATTATGCAGTTTGGTGGATGCTCATCCACCAGGTCCAGAAAGGGTAGATAAGAAGAGCTGCCATCTTCCTCCCTAAGGCCAGGCCACAGATGACGCCTGGAGGGAGAACAAGCACTGAGAGTTTTATATGCCGAAGCCCAGGCCAGAGAGGCTGCAGCTGGACGTGTGAAAATCACTCACACCCATGGGCAGGATCCAGGATTTTGTAGAGAAGGTGGAGGATACAGCGACAGAAGCAGCGGACCTTTTAAGTCCCTAATTCAGGGAGGAATCTCCCTTGCCTGCTCTTGGCACCCCTTCCCTCCACCTCCATGCTCAGCTGCACCAGTCTTCCTCTCCCATTCCCCTTTACTCCACCTCTTCCTGTTGCTGTCCCCAGCTGATTTGGGGGCAAGGGGAGCACCAGAGCTGCTCCTGCCCCACTCCAGCCAGGCAGAGCAGCCATCCAGGCTCAGCCAGTGACAGCAGCAGGCAGGTTCCTCCTCCCTGAGCCTCTTCCTGGGCTAGCAGGGAACACCCGGGTGGACCTGGCAGAGATGGGGAGCTTGCCCTCTGCTGCCACTGGCTGAGCCTGGCTCCCACATAGCTCAGCTGGAGCAGGGCAAGCATGGCTCTGGTGTACCCCATCCCTGAGTCTGCAGGGCAGAGGCAGGAGGGAAAATGGGAGAGGAGGGGAGGGGCTGCTGACAGCAAGAAGGATCCTTATCTGTTCTGGGGACTTAAAGTCTCTGGCAGTTGCTCCTTCAGCATGGTCCCAGAGCGGGGTACAACTGTACCCCTGCTTACACCACTGAGAGAGCTCACAGCAACCCCTTGTCCCTGTCCTGCTGACAGGAGGTGGACCTCAATACTAGGCTTGCTGCAGTCCGGGGAGGGAGCACAGTATAAATAAGTGCTTTAGGAAAAACTTAAAGGACTCTGAACAGCCCATGTATGTCAATCACCCATAGCCTAACCACCCTCCTAAAGAAAGGCAAAGGAGGAGAGGGCTTCCCTGCCCCAAATAAACTGATGGAAAGGAGGTCAAGCCCAGCAGACAGCAATGCCTCCACTGAACTGCTGGGTTTTTTTACTGAGCATCTCTGTGGAGGGTGAAAACCCATAAACACCTCCTGTTTTTTCCCTAAACCTTCACTTACACCTTGACTTTTCCTTCCTGTTTTTAAGAGGGCTTAATCACACAGCTCAACCAAAACCTTGTTACAAAAAATTAAACCTGCTTATATTTGAGTACAGTAGTGGACAGTGTATTTTATGGAAAATCCTTCTAAAATATCAGCAAAAAAGAAATACAAACATAAAAGCTTTGGCAAGAGGTACTTGGAATTGTACAGCCCTCCCACCCACTCCGTGTGATTTTGCTCAAAGCTCTCTACTGCTAAGGCAAAAATCTCCTGGACTTAGGGAGAATTGATATTTACACACAGACTACCGACTCCTTGTACTGAAAGGAGGAGAAAAGACCCTCTGCCTCCTTTTTTTTCCTTTTCTTTTTGAACTCTTGCTGCCTGATGTACTTTTTTATTTTCTATGCATACATGCACATGTGTATGCACACCTGGCTTCCACATACAAATTTGGAGGATCGTGAGCCTGGGCTAATAAAGGTCAATCTGTCTGCCACATTAGAAAGAATTTGATTTCCACATTACTCTGCATATTTAATTATATTTCTATTGGCTTTTTTATTGAGATTCAATGAGTGGATTCTGCCGCAAATCTAATCCAATCTGAGGACTTCCTCTATTGCTGCTCATCACTTAGTTTGGTGGTTTTTTTGGAGCTGGCTGGTTCTGCGGCCGCCACTTGAGACAAGAGTTGTGTATTTTGTATAAGCTCATGTTTCTATTGTATGTCGGAGGTTGTATTTACCAGTTAGTAGAGTTATTTAGTTACTGCAAGGCTGAGACTTAAAGGTCTGATAAGGAACTTGAAAACAAACATGCTCAGAGGTAGAGTTATTTAATAGATGACCATCTGCTTGGTAAAATAATTTTGTTTTAAATAGTTAATAAACATGGCCTTAATTACTATTTACCCAAATGACTCACACTAACTTTTTTCTGGTAACCCTTTCCGTTTCCTCCACTACATATGATAGCAAGACTATCAAGCACTCTGTCAAAAGTATAGCACCTGCAGGTTTGCAATAGCTCAGAGACTTGGGCTCACGTGGCACTAAGATTTGAAACAAGATTAGAGAGCAACTACCTGGTGCTTTAATGGAGTGTCTGAAAGGCACCTCAGAGAAGAGGAAAAAGCCACTCCCCTGGCTTCCTCCTTCAGTTAGTGCCTCATGCTCCGCCAGGGAGCGCAGCCTCTGAGGCAGCAACTCTGCCCAGGTGCCCCACTGCCAGAGGGACAATTTGAAAAGAACAGGGGCTGAAGGAGTCCCATGCATCTCTTGGCTTCTCATAGTGCCTTGGAGCCACAGCTGCTGGCACCCAGCCCTGTGAGCACCCATTACAATGGCACTCCTTCCCTTAAACCACAGCAGAAGGGGACACTAGATGAGGCAGCAGCCTTTTTAACAGACACTTCTGAAGATTCAGGAAGCAACCAGCATGGTCCACGTAGAACCTCCCAAGCCAGGATCTCAGCCCAGTCAGGATCCCCTCCCCCATGCTAAATTACTGGATTCCTATATAGCTACCGCTTCACTACTGAAACCTGCACGTACTGAAACTCAGATGGCTCCCTAGTCACAGCAGCTGGAGACACCAAGGAAAGGCTGCACAGCCTTGAGCCTGCTGTCAGTGGGTGCGTCTACATGAGATGCTAACTGCACAGTAGCCGAATAGCACTGCACAGTCATGTGCTGTGCAAAACCTGTGCTAATATGCTTCTGCGCAGTAATATTAGGGTACTGTGCAGTTAGCATCCATAAAAACCCGTGTGCCAGTGCTACTGCGCAGTCGCACCAGTTACTGCGCGTTGATTTAGTACTTGGTTATCCAAGTACTAAGCTTAATGCTCGGTAACTACGGTGCATTAATGAACGTGCAGATGCACCGAGCGTCACCTAAGAAAAAGGAACTGGGTTTTTGTATCTGGAAAAGCTGTTTAATTTGACTCATCACCTGATTTCAAAGCAAGTGAAAACCCCCAGTGTTAAATACCATGAGAACGCTTGGAAGCTGGTGAATGCTCCAGCGAAACCCCGTTTTATGACCAAACACTTGCAGGAATCTGCAGGAGCATCAGGTGTGACGGGGGACATAGAGGGATGGAGACAGGGTGGAGACGAACACTGGGGAGGCCAGGGGGCGCGGGGCAGGGAGCCAGAGCAGGGTGGGGCGAAAACCTGGAGATTCCAAAATCAAAGGCGGGCGGTCGGAGGGGGACAGAGGAGCTGGCTGGGATCTAGGAATTGTGATGGCAAAAAGAAACGAGCACAGTCTTGGGGATTTAAGCAAAGGCAAAAAAGATAAGCAGACCGCTCAGAAGGGAAGGGCAGGCCTGGAGGGAACCCCCCGAGGGAAGTTTGGTGGGGGGGATTCAGACCCAACACCCCTGGAGCGGGCGCCAAACTCCCTCCTCTCCGCGGGTGCCCAATGGGTGCAGGGCCCCGGAGCCCGCACAGGAGCTCGGCCCCGGCTCCCC